ACTTCCCAAGCACCCCTGGCCCAGCCAGTCCTCCCCTCTGCAGCGCAGGCCACCACAACAACCACAGCCCAAGGGTCCTGCTTGTCCTTTAACTTCTCAAGAAGGCTGAGCCCAGTGTCCCACCTCACCCTAAGTCTCCAGCATTCCCATGTATATCAGGGCAGGGGACATGGCGAGAGCTAGGGGACCTGAGCTAAGGTCTGAGACAGATTTCCGACAGGTGGGACACTTCACAGATACACACATACCCACACACCCCGCAGGGCACATGGTCACCAAAGACATGTCTCACCATCTGTCCCACCAGCTAGTGTGACCATTAACCAGCTTTCTTTTGTAGTCATCTGTCCCTGTAACTTCTTCCTGGACTAGGCTCCAGGGGGGCAGAGACCAGACTCCCAGAAGAGTGCTTGGCCCACAGGGGGCACTCAGGACATCTTTGTTGAATGAATGAATTGTCCCACTTGAGCCCTATGGGTTGCACAAAACAAGTGCACTTCCTTCCACACGGGCTGTTACTTCAGATATTAACAGAAGTCTCCTGAACCCACGTCACCTTGCAGCTGAGCCTCTGAGGCCTGACAGCCACTGCCCATGTGACAGGGTGACAGGCCTCCACCCCTGTTGTCCTCACGAGCCTTCCCTAGCTCCTTGCGACATTTCCTCACCCTTTGGAGCGTGACTTCCTGTGCGGAAAGCAGGGCTGTGGGTGTGGTCCCAGACAGTCCTGAGCACCCGTGGTGTAGGTCAGAGGAGAAGGACCAGGCCCTGCCCTTGGGAGCCTGCGGCCCCTCCTGGGGACAGAGCCCCCCACATGTGATGGTTAAGTCCTGGTCATCTGGTCACCTGGCTGGCTGGGGAGCGCTCACCCTGGTCTCCACGCGCCTCGTAGCGAGGTGGGCAGCAAGCGGTCAGCAGGGGCGGGGCGTGAGCGTGCTTGCCTGCCATGTCTGCCACCCGCAGCCTGTCAGCCTCATTTCATCTCGGTTCATCGTCAGACCTAATGAGCGTTTGGAGTAGCTGTCTCGCTGTGACAGGTGATCAGTCTAGGAGGTGGCTGTTGATCGCGCTCTTCCAGAGCTGGGGCTTGGGGGGTGTCTCAGAGCCCCTCCAGGTCAGGGCGGCCCCTAGCTCTCCTGCCCTCTGCTCTCCTTTTCTCTCTCCAGTGAAGCACAGGCCTAGGGTATTGCTAGTTTCCTTGAACTTGCCGTTTTGGAGACTAGAGCAAGATTTTCCCTTCTCCATTCCCAGAGAATGCCCAGGAATTTGAGAACTAGCCCAATGCCCACCCTGTGTCCTTGTGGCAGTAGGATCCAGAGGCCCTCATGGCACGCCCTCCCCGCCTCCTCCCATAGTTACCTGGGCCTCCCCTGCAGAGCTGCGTAGGGTCGCTCCCATAGTTACCTGGGCCTCCCCTGCAGGGCCAGGCAGGGTCACTCCTGAGGTTACCTGGGTCTCCCCTGCAGAGCTGGCTAGTGTCACTCCTGAGGTTATCTGGGTCTCCCCTGCAGAGCTGGCTAGGGTCGCTCCCATAGTTCCCTGAGCCTCCCCTGCAGGGCCAGGCAGGGTCACTCCTGAGGTTAGCTGGGTCTCCCTTGCAGAGCTGGCTAGGGTCACTCCTGAGGTTACCTGGGCCTCGCCTGCAGAGCTGGCTAGGGTCGCTCCCATAGTTCCCTGAGCCCCCCCTGCAGGGCCAGGCAGGGTCACTCCCATAGTTACCTCGGCCTCCCCTGCAGAGCTGGCTAGGGTCACTTCCTTGAGAAATGTGTCCCTTGCCCACTCCGAGTGGAGGCCAAGTTCTTGGGTGTGTGCTTTTTGAGAACTGCGTTCCTTTCCTTCGGAGAGCTTCTCAGCTTGTAGTCATCTGCCCCTCACTGTGCTGCTTGAGTTGTGGTCTTTCTCCTGACCAGCATGGAGCGTCCTGAGAGCACATCAGTGCCTGATGTTGCTCCTCAGGGCCTGGCACGTGCCCGGCACATAGCAGGAGCCCAGTATCCACAGGACACGTGAACCTGCTCTCCCTGGATGTGCGTGTCCCATTTGCTATTCCCACCACTGGCAGCATTTCCACTGTGGGAGTTTTTTAACAGGGCAGTGCAAGGTGTAACTAATGGGAGTGCGGCTCATTTGTGAAGACGGCCAGCACGGCCCCCCTGGATGAGCATTCCCCAACCCCCATCCCCCCTACCCCATTCTTGTGCGGAAGCTGCAGCCCCAGAAAACCACCACTTTCCACCACTCCCAGAATCGCTTCCCAAGAGCCTCTGGCATCTTCCTTTTATTCCTCGGCAGCCGCAAACACCTAGCCCTTGAGAGTAGATTTGGTTTTTGGAGATACATCAAAAACTTGTCTGAAATCATATCAGGAGAACAAACTGGGTAATAGGCCTTATGAGGTAAAAGCAATTATAGCTAAAAAATGTGAGGTAAATTTTCTTATCCCTCACAGCTATGGCTTGGTGGGCCATTCTCAAAGTTCTAGAAAATGTTATTGTCACCAGTGACATAAAGACACAGCTTCCCAAGACAGCCAGTCTGCAGGGCCTGCTGGCAGGTATATATTCTAGTGTGTTCTCTTGAAAAAGTCAGCCTCCTTTCCCTGGACACAGAGGTCATAAATTGATGGATTTACAACCAGGAAATCTCCTGGGTCAGGGCAGTGGCAGTAACTCCCCTTTAAAAGAGCAGACCAGTTCCTGCCAGCATTTCCACAACTTCTGGGAGGCTGGGGGCTGAGGAAGAAGAGCAGGGTGGGAAGAGGGAGTGCTGAGGGCCACAGGCCAGCCTCCTCTTCCTGCTTGTTCATGGAACGTGGGGGCCAAGGCCATGGTCAGCCACAGACGGCTGGAGTTCTCCCCTCACCTCTGTCCGAATTCCAGCCTGCCTCTCTGATGGCCAGGAGCAGCGCTGGGTCCCAAGGTGGCGCCCCGGTCGGTGTGGCAGAGCAGGATTTGAATCTTGCCTTACGGCAGCTGCCCCCTATGCCCTGTCCCTGTACCCTGCCAGTGGGGGTGGAACTGTCTGCTGCAGCCTCTTGAATCACCAGGCGGCCCCAGGGTCCCCAGTCTGCCAACTGTAGCAGGGAGTCCCCCGTCCCACCCACCCCTTGCTGCTTTGAAACCCTTTCTGGCTCAGGACCGACTCCTGGCACACAGGGACTCCACCTCCACCCCAGCTAGCCCTCCCTTGGGTGCTCAGCATTCTCTGTGGTGCCGGGCTTCTGCAGAAACTCTGCTGTGCCCGCCCCTCCATGCACTTGCCCGCCCCCCCATGTACCCACCCCTCTGCACACTCCTCACACGGCCCCCTTTCACACATCCGCCCCTCCATGCACCCACCCCACCCATACCCACCTCCCCCACTTCGCCCACCTGTACCACCCTTCCAGACGCACCCCCACTTTGCGCACCCGCCCCCAGAGGCCTCTGTGACAAGCTAGGCTGCGTGGGGTCCTGGGTTGTCCCTAAGGGAACAGGGAGGCCCATGGGGTGTCCGAGGTCATCCCCTCCACCTCCCAGAGTTAACCCAGAGGCGGCTTCCCTCCTGCTTTCCCCTTGACTAGGCGGAGCTGGCAGATTTGTGATGTCCCCGAGAGCAGGAGAGTCACAGGGCCCTGTGGAGTCAGGCGTGTGGGGGATGCGAGCCAGCTGGCCCCCGAGAGCAGGAAACAGATCATCGTCTTTGTTGGCGATTTTCACAGGCGCACCCCCTCACTCCACTGCTTCTGCTTCCCCGGCGGTGTCAGGCGGTTCTAATGAGAAGTAATAGATGAAGTTTCTGCTGATCCCACCGCAGAGTGTCATTGTGGGAAGATACTATCAGACAATACGTGTGTCCCGGGAGAAGCTCTTCCTGCCAGAGGGCTGGGGAGTATGGGGTGGCCTGAGGGGACAGTGGCATCCCCGAGGCTGGGCAGACCTGGTTGGGGCTGACAGAAGGAGCTGCTGCGGCTGCAGGGCCACTGCCAACCATGAGTTGCCCACACTTCACCGAGAGGTGCCAGGGGTCATCGTGCTTCACCTGAGGAATCAGGGCACAGAGGTGGTGAGCTCCAGAAATGAAGGAACACTGGGGTCCCTGCGTGTGGCCACAGCTGGCAGGTCTGGGTAGTGGGGACAGCAAATGCCAGAAGCCAGAGGGCGAAGGAAAGAATTCGCTGAACCTAGAAGCACCGTTGGCCACAGTGAGGGTTCAGGGTGCCCGGGATGCTCATCTTCCTCAGTCAGTGCTGAGCGCCTGCTGTGTGCACGGGCCCTGCCCTCACGGGGCTCACACTCTGCAGCGTCCAGCGGAGGGCCTGTAGGAAAGGCTGTTTGTTCTAACAGGGGAGTTGCAGGCCCCTTCTGCTTTTGAGTGACCCAGGGGTGTGCCCAGGCTACCAGAGCAATGTGCCACGTCCCTCTGGCCTGGATGCCAGCCACTAAGAGGACGCAGCACAGCCAGCCCTGGCCTCTGGTGCCTCTTATTCTCTGGGGTGGCCACTGGCCCTTGGGCGCACACCTCTGTTCACTCTTGCCCATGTCCCCTCAGTGTGTCTAGAAGGTGCCCTTGGCCCCAGACACCTGCTCCTTCTGCTCTGTGTCCCTGCCCTCTGTCACCCCCCAGTTCCCCAGACACATGTTCCCTAAACCAAGGGAGGGAGGAGGAGCAGAGTGCCGAGGTACCTGCCCCCTGCCAGGGAGCTGGGCAGGCCCGACCAGAGTCCGCACTCCCCCGAGGAGGCAGCTGCCCTGCTGTGCATGGCCTGCCTTGGTGTGCACCCGCAGGCTCCCCCAGAGAAGCTCCCCTTCCCTGCTGGGGAGTCCAGGACAGGGTGGGAGACGGGGCCCCGGCACAGGCGTTCATAGGTCAGCAGCCCTGTCCGCCTGCCAGAGTGTAGCCCTGGGGGTGACATGGTTTGCATTTAACAATGATTCTTTCTCATGGGCCTCCAGTCCCTCCTCGCTGTCCCCCACCCCCAGGCCCTGGCCCCTCCTGCTGACCCCCCTCTCATCCTGCAGCTTTCACCATCATGATCGTGCTGGCCCTGGTCCGCATCGGGCACGGGCAGGGGGAGGGCCACCCGCCCCTGGCCGACCTCGCAGGGGTCCGGAACCTGTTCGGCGTGTGCGTCTACTCCTTCATGTGCCAGCACTCCCTGCCGTCCCTCGTCACCCCAGTGTCCTCCAAGCGCCACCTCACGGGGCTGGTCTTCCTGGACTACATGCTGATCCTGGCCTTTTACAGCCTCCTCTCCTTCACTGCCATCTTCTGCTTCCGCAGTGACAGCCTCCTGGACATGTACACCCTCAACTTTGCGCACTGCGACGTCGTGGGCCTGGCTGCCGTGCGCTTCTTCCTGGCCCTCTTCCCCGTCTTCACCATCAGCACCAACTTCCCCATCATCGCCGTGACGCTCCGCAACAACTGGAAGACGCTCTTCCACCGCGAGGGTGGCACGTACCCCTGGGTGGTGGACCGCGTCGTCTTCCCCACCATCACGCTGCTGCCCCCCGTGGTGGTGGCCTTCTGCACCCACGACCTGGAGTCCCTGGTGGGCATCACGGGGGCCTACGCAGGCACCGGGATCCAGTACGTCATCCCCGCCTTCCTGGTGTACCACTGCCGCAAGGACACCGAGCTGGCCTTCGGCTACAGCATCGTCAACAAGCACAGGTCCCCCTTCCGCCACACCTTCTGGGTGGGCTTTGTGCTGCTCTGGGCTTTCTCCTGCTTCTTCTTCGTCACGGCCAACATCATCCTCAGCGAGACCAAGCTTTGATGGCGGGACTGCACACGTGTTCTGGTAACGGCCCCCACCTGGCTCCCCACCTGCAGAGCCAAGAGTTGGTTGCCTCCTAGACCCTCGTGGGGCTGGAGGAGGCCAGGCACATGGAGGGGCTGGGGGTCCACTCCCCACCCAAGATTCTGCACCGTCTGCGCCTCACCTCGCCCACCAGGTGGTGCCACCCGGGTCTTCTGCAGGGTTGCCCCTTGAGCTGAGCAGCCTGACACCAAGACTTGTCACAGGAATCGTCATCTCTGCCTCACACACACACACACACCCATCCTGCCCCGTGCAGTGGGGGGACGCAGTGCTGGCACTGCTACTTATTTATACAGGACACTGTCCCCTGCCTCCCTCACCCCAGTGCCCTCCACACTTCCTCGTTCTGAGGAGTCAGCCCCCCAAGTAGGTGCTGTCTCCCACCCTCCTCTGGCCAGGCCTGGAAGCTGCTAAGTGCCACTCCTAGGGGAAGGCCTGGCCGCCCTGGTGACAAGCACAGGAAGTGCTGATTGGCACCAGGCTTCTGGGCCAGAGTGAAGGCCCTTGCTGTGGGGCCTGTTTCTCTCTGAGTGGCACCCCTCTCACAGGGTCATAGCAGCTCTTGGGCTGGGTTTAAACCCAGAGCTGGGACCCCTGAAGGAGCCTTTGCTCCCGACTGCTCATGGGGGCCTCAGGCCTCCTGTGGGATCGGGGGCTGCCAGAGGGGTTGCCCCACTGGGCACGTGGCCAGGAGAGGGCTCCAAGTTTCCACCTGGGAGGCCAGGCCTCCAGGCAGCACTCAGCTTGGCTGACCCTACCCCTCTCCAGCACTGAGGGGGCTCTAAGGGAGACAGCTGTGGGTGCTAGGTGTCCACGCACCCTCTCCCCTAGGCACCATGGGGTGGGGACACCATGCCCGTGCAAGGAGGGCCAGGTCCCCAGTCACCTGCCCAGCATCCCCAGGGCCCCACTCCGTCCCAATCACACATTCACCTACTGGGCCAGTGACCTTAGACACAGGTGGCTCCCGTGAACTCTGCATTTTCAATGTGCCTTCTCCTGCTTCAGGACCTGGGGATTCTTCCTGACCCTGCTGCCCCCAGCTCTGGGCCTGGTCCCACTGTCCTGGAGCCCAGAGCTGCCTCTTGGATGGGGGCCCTGGGCTCCTGCCTCTCTCTCGATTTCAGTGCCTTGCTCAGCCCTCTCGTTAGGGAACTCTGCCTGCCCTGTGTCTCAGTCTTCATACCTAGGACAGAAGGGGTGGCAGGGACACTGCTTGCCTTAGAATGAAGTCTGCTAGGGGATCCGCAGGTAGCGCCACCCGCAGCCCAAGCCCGTGAGGACCCTGGGTCGTAACTGCCGCCATCTTTGTCCTCACTGTTCCCGCACATCTTCGGTTCTCCCAGCTCTTGCCCTTGTACAATTATTTTCCATCCACGTGAAAAATAAGTGCCCCTTCCCCATCTGTTGCTGTGGCTGCTTCCCAGGAGGCCCTGCCTCAGGGTGGGCGAAGCAGGGAGGGCACCGAGCCCAGCCCTCCGCGCCCAAGCCCTCCTCAGAGCTGCCCAGATGTGTGCTGAAAACTCAATTAAAACATCAGTACTTACCCTTCTCCAACTACATTCCCTCTTGCTTAAGGACAAAGTAAATCATCCTGCCTCCCTGGGCTCCAAACCAAATTTTGGACGGAAATGTATTAGCATCATAAAGCCCAGGTTGATTTATGTGACAGGCTGGAGCCACACACAGCAGTGGGGTTGGGCCACGTGCCTCGCCACTTCTCAGCTGGGGCAGCTCCAGGCCTGGAGGGAACTGGTGGAGGGGACCATGCCACCGCCGCCGTCTGTGGGTTCTTGGCCTCTCACCGTTCACCGTGCTGTCTGTCCTGCTCCAGGTTAGATGGGGGATGTCTTCGTCTCCACCCCCAGGCCTTGACCACTGATGGTAAGAGGGAGAGGACCCCAACAGCTAGCTGTCCCCCAAATGAGGCTGGCTCGCCGTGTGCGCCCAGTATGTTGGACCTGAGTTTTTATATCACCTTGGTGAGGTGGGCAAGGTGGGTCCTGATTTCCATTTTACAGATGGACCCAGAGTCACTGCAGGCCAGCCAGTGAGGGGAGAAGAGGTCGCCAGCCCAGCCTGGCCCAGGGACCCAGTTGTTGCTTTGGAGAACTTCACAGCCCCACCCACGTCACTAAGCCCACACCAGCCCCCGGGGCAGGCCAGGTGAAGGTGGGGAGCGAACACTCCACCTCATTCCCTGTCTGAGCGCCAGGCCCGCCTGAGCCCCAGAGCCTGTGCTAGCAGCTCCTGGCTGGTCCCTCACCTGAGGCTTATAGATGGGGCATATGGCAGGCGGGGAGGTGGGCAGTGGACACCTGCCAGATCCTTGGCTACACAGCTGTTCTCACCCCATGGGGGCCAGGAGCAGCCTCGGCAACAGGCAGAGGCTGAAATCAGCATGCGGGGTGGGGGACAGGCTTCTGCTCCCCTCACCTCCTGGGGAGCTTACCCGGAGCAGGAGCAACTGGCAGCTCAGGACCATGGGAAGCAAGCCAGATAGATCCCTGCCCCAGCCACGCTGATGGCCACTGAAGAGCTGTCCCCTCAGACCAAGACCAGGACCGTCAGAGGAGCTTTGTGATCCCTTCTCCTGGGGCTGATGACGTGGGTGACCAGCTGGGTAAGGGAGAAGGAACAGGGATCGAGGGCCTGGTGTGTGCCAGGCACAGTGCTGTGCGCTCCCCTATGGCCTCAGCGGAACAGTCAGTGGTCAGGACTGTGGACCAAGAAGCCAGGCCTGCCACAGCAGCTGCATGACCCGGGCAGGCAGACCACCATGCTCCACTCCTCCATCCCTGTAAAGTGGGGTGAGGGTGCCTGTGTCCCTGACCGGTGTGGGAGTCACAGCACTGAGCCCAGTGCCCAGCTCGGAAGTGCTCAGTAAAGCTGTTATTTATGGGTGCGATCGCCTTTGTCGCTCAGCAGCGGTAACCGCACTTGTAGCCAGGGGCCACCAGACTCACTCAAGACTCCTGGTTTCCACCCCAGACACCTAGTTGGTGTCATGGCCTCCTAGTGAGCCAGGTGTCCTCTTGCAGCGATTGCCTCCTGCAGTTCCGAAACAGAAAGTGGACTTGAGTTCTGCAAGGTCCAAAGGGCTCAGGGAGGAGGGTGACCTCTGCTTCCCCCTTGGAAACTTACGGACAGCACGTCCTTTTCAAAGAGTAAGATTGGGGCCAGGCCGGAGGGTGCTAGAGCCAGGACTGGAGCCCAGGGACCCTCAATAAGGCCATCATGCCACCCTTTTCTAAGCTCCGCCCCTCATCCCAGTCCCCCACACACCTGCCTCCCTGGAAACAGATGGTGGACTGTGCTCTGCTGGGCTAACGAGGAAAAGAGCTGGGGCAGCAGCAGGAGGGGCCAGGGTTAAATAGCGTTTCCTGCTGCTGAGACTCGACCAAGGGCCTCCGTCTCCCTGACTCCCACCCGAAGGAAATACCGTGGGTGTCTGTGTCTGGTGCATCCCACTAGCCCTTTGCTACACAGTCAGGCCCTTGTTTATGATGATTTAAATCCATGACTTCCGGTCAATCTCCCATGCAGCTGCCTCTCTCTTCGGCCAGGCTTTCTGCCCTCTCCTGGGTAGTGCAGGACCCTTCCGTGACCCCCAGTGGAGAGGCAGGGGCATAGCGGCAGGAACAGGAGACCTGCAGTGGGAGGCCTTCCTCCTGGCCCCAGGCTCGCTGCTCCCCCAGAAGTGATTCCTAGAGAAAGGATAAGGCAGCCAAGCACCTGGCCCCAGGGGCAGGTTGGGCCCTTCCTTGGAGCCAGCCAGCAGCAGGCTCAACTCCACATTTTGCCTTTAATTAATTAGCTTTCCAGTTCTTGGTTATTAATGATCATGGGCAGTGAGCGAGAGCAGCCGGGCCTTGAGGACTCCTCCCAGCCTCCCCTTCTGCTGCCTTCCACCAGAGCTGCACCCAACCCGACTCAGGGAGGAAGAGGGGTCAGGTCAGGAGGCTGGGGGGCAACAGCTTAACCCTCTCACTCCCAGTGGCCGCAGCGAAGGTCAAGCTTCCTTCCAGAGCACTGGCCTCTAGCACTCACCTAAGCTCACACTCTTCCACCTGTGTTGAGCCCCCTGATCCTGGGCCTGGAACCAGCCCATGACCACACCACCACAGACAACCCACAGGGAGGAGAACATGGAATTGACTAGTAGATGGGGTCCAAGGAACCCTGGGAGCGCAACAGTCAAGCACACAGCTGCTAACCGAAAGGTCAGCATGTCAAACCCACCCAGTGGCAACACGGGAGAAAAGACCTGGCACTCTGTTCCCACAAAGATTACAGCCTAGGAAGCCTTATGGGGAAGTTCTTCTCTCTCCTATAGGGTCACTATGAGCAACGGCACACAACAACAAATAGAGTCTACCCATCCTCGGGGCAGCCAGACGTCAGCCAAGAACGGAAAGGCTCAGAAATCTTGAGAGGAATTCGGTGTGTGGGAAATTTCCCCACCCTACCATTTCAGCTGCTCTCGCCCCTAAAGTAAAACTAACACTTCAATTCCTGTGGCCCCGACCCAGGCAGCTGGTCTGCAGACTGGAGAGGGATCCAGGTTCCTGGGAAGCAACAAGGTACCCTGGAAAAGAGCCCTGGACAGAGACTCACAATGTATTCACACCCCACCACCGCCCCTCCCAGGCTCCCTCTTCGTAACAGTTAATATCTGCCCTGCTTCAACCCGCCTCGTGAAGGACAGCAAGGTCTCAGGCTTCACGCGCCCAGCAGTTAGAGGGGGCTGGCGGTACCCATAGTGCCTGCCATAGTGTTTGTGGAATGAGTGGAAGAATGGACGCTTGCTGGTTTCACGGAGCCTTTTGGGGAGTTAAATGCAATCGCAGATGTGAAAGCATTGAAAAGTGTAAGCAAGGGCCCTAAAAAGGTGGGCCAGGGCCGATGCGAGGTGACAGAGAAAGGCGGTGGGGCAGGAGCCCCAGAGGGAGGAGGGGGCTGGGAGGGCAGGCAAATTCTCTGAGCTGGCTCGCTGCCCCCTGAGGACTCCCAGCTCCAGGAGGCAGAGCTGTACCTGACCTTGGAGGCCACCCAGGCCAAGCTCCCAGAGTCTGGCTGGCAGCACTGGGCGATGCATGGCTGCCACAGAGAGAATGCAGTCCAGGCCCAATCACACCTAGCAGGTCCCCACCACAGCAGACCGCTCCCCACCTGTGGGTGGCCCTGGGCAGGACAGGACACCCAGAGCCCCTAGCGGGAGCCTCTCTGTTCAAAGAAACTGAGGATGGCCTCCATCCATCACTCCAGAGCCCCTGTGCTGAGCACATTTGTCACATCAGGCGCCAGGGTGGGCGGGAGCTGGGCTGAATACTAAGTGCCTTCTGCTGCTGTCGGAGCCCTCTCTCAGCCTCACCTGCTCCCCATACTCCCAGATACCCTTGAGGCAAAGTTTCCCCCAGACGGAGCTGCTCGCCTGCTTTAGGAAGCACCACACCTGGGATACTCCCGTGATGCATCCCCTTCAGGTGCAGAATGAGGCATTCGGGCCCAGTGGGTTGTAAAAGGTGTGTTTAATGTCCCATGTTCAGATGGGGAGAAATTCTGGCTGGGTGGAGCAAGGAGCAGGACAGCCCTGCCCAGCCCAAGTTCCAGTCCTGAGCTCCACATCAACCCTGCAGCCGCCATGCCAGGCACGGGCTCACACCAGGGCAGGGAGACCCTGCTGGGTCTGATACCACCGCTCCCCAGGACTCCAGACTGGCTAGGGGGGCTCTGCACGGGGAGGGGACAGCAACAACCCAGCCCACGCCAGGATCTGGGGCTGCTGTGGCCACTGAACTGACCTGGAAGACATTGTCACCAGGGCCTCAGGGCCAGGATTCCTGGGTCACCAGGACCCCAGCACCAGGATTCCTGGCAGAAGCTGGAAGAGCCCGAGCCTAACTGCCCACTAACCCTGGCAGTGCCAGGCCGAGTCCAGCTGCTGGGAGCCAGAGAGGCTGACACTCCCACTGTCGACCTCACACTTCCGACTCCAGACTGGAGAACCGCCTCCAGGTGCAAGGGCCTGGGAGGCCGTGCATTCCGCAGGCCACCCTGCTGACCTCATCCAGCCCCTCACTGTCCCTGTAGCCTGTGCTCAGCCCCAGAGTCCTGCCCCTGTGCCCCTGAGGCCCCCAGACCCCAGGGAGCCAGGGGCCATGGCTGGCACAGGGTGGGAGGTGAGGGCAGACAGTACCCCAGCAGAGCGGCAGATTGGCATGGGCGTGGAAGCAGGCGTGCTGTCCGTGCGGCCAGGTGGGGGTCCCTGCCGGCACGCGCCCCTGGCAGGCCTCGCGGTAGAACGGCAGCCGCAGCGACGATGCCGGGCGCCTCCAGGCCTGGCCGGCTTTGCGGCAGGTGCAGGTGGGACCGGCGCACGGCGCAGGTAGCGAGCTGGGCCGAGCGAAGTCCGCGGCCACCGAGCTGAGCAGGGAGGCGTGGCGCGGGCGGGGACTGCGGGCCCAGGCCGCGCGCAGCAGGGCCTCCCGCCGGGCCAGCTGCTCCCGCTCGAGCAGCGACAGGTCCTTGGGCTCCGTGGGCTCCGTGGGCTCCGGGAAGAGCGGGAGGAAGGGGCGCCGCGCCCGGTCGGCTCGCGGGAAGGAGTTGTAGGGACAGCGCGCAGGGGATAGGGGGCGCTCCGAGAGCGCGCGCCTCTCGGAGGCCAAGAGGAGCCGCCAGGCCCGCGCTGGCCACCGGGTGTCCCAGGCCGGCCGTCCAGGCAACCGGGGGTCGTTAGGCGGGGGCGGCGGGGGT